TTGACAATCTGAAGTCCCTATGCTGTGTACAATTGAATATTACTTCATAGAGAGCTACAAGGCCTTTCATTTAAAAGGAAATTACCTTTTGGAACAATTCAACAGATTTATTCAAATTGCCATGGAAGCTGGCCTGTTGGAAAAATGGTGGCAAGATGTACTCACAAAATTACAAATTAAATCTGCTGCCATTCGAAACCATTCTCTTCTAGATGACTACTCTGTGCTTCTTTTAGTACATCTACAAGGAGCATATTGTGTTCTACTGGGATACTGTATTGCCTTAATCACTTTCCTGATGGAAGTATTATACCACAGCTACTACACTCAGTAGTGTCTATGTAATACTCATCCATTCTCTCCAGTTATAGAAAGGTTTTATAAAAAAGTTTTATCAACATAAAGTTTTGCATGACTTATAAAAACTGAAAGTGTAGTTATTGTTGACACAAATTCAAAATCTAAAAGTACCAGGCCAAAATAAATATAAACATAATCTAAAATAGACATTCATATGATAGTTCTGCTAGTAGAACTCTAGAAGATGTATCAATTAAAAATCACCACTGGGATCCTGGGTCAGATGTACAGTTGCAACAGATCATAAAAAAGTAAAGCTGTCCCACTATACAGCATATAGGTGCTGCCCCTGTCAGGGATTAAACTCTGGTTATCCAGCCCATAGCCTGTCACTATGCTGACTGAGCTATGCCAGTGCATGACCATAGTGAACTAATTATCAGTATACTTTTCATTTTATTAAACTAATATTATTATACTATGAAAATGTTGATACTGGTCACTATTATTAGTGGGTGCCTTGAGAAAACTAAGACAATCACACAGCTACTTACTGTGACATAATGACTCAGCATGTTTACAGTGAAAGAAAATTTGTAGAACGTAGTGAAATACATAACTGCAGGATAAATTCCTCATTTCAAATTTTCTCTGCATTTCTATATATGTACTCCCTCCCCCTGACGTGCAAGATAAAAGTTTTCTTGCATGTAAATTGTTGACATTTGTGCATTAAATACAGGAGAATTTTCATAAATCAGAGTAAGCACATGTTTAATACTTAGTCAAAACAAGGGGATTAATAGTTAACTCTTGTAATACATTCATGGTTTATAATTTCAATGATATTGTTCTTTGTGGATAAACAAAGGAATGTAGTCTTGTCATTTCACATGGCTGTATAATTATCTGTAATATGCATGGTGTGATATGTGATCAATTATATAAGCTACACTATACAATGTAAAGACACATTTTTAAAGTTAAATGCCTCAGTAAAAGACTTGTGAAGACATATTTTGTATTAAAATTATTACGCAAGTAGCAGCAGATCATAATTGAATTGGTTATGATCTATCTTGTAGATGCTTCCCATCATTTTTTTGTAATGGTTGAGCAAATCTGTGAAAAATCCTGTTGAAAATAGGATTAAATACCAACTTCAAAAAAAATATATTTAGAATAAGGGTCAAGGATAACATGGAAAAAGAAAAGTTCAAGCAGTACCTCTTGAACATTTCAATAGGTTACACAAAATAACATGGCTAGTATTATTGATAAAGAATGAATTTTACAACAGACAATATTATTATAATCATTTTCTTTACATAAATTATTAAGACTGTATCAATACAAAACTGACGCCTGTAATATTACTTTGCAGAACATCATGTATGTAGGAGGGAGGACCTCTATTCAACATTTCATATATTAATACTGTGGTCAGTAATATAGTATACATTACAGAAAGCCCTAATTATAACAAAGAATAATTTATAAAACATTAATTATGCTATAACTGATGACACTGCATTCACTTTTCAGTGTTTGATTCTATGACTGTACAAAATTATTGCAATTTTAATAACTTCACAAAACACTAAAATCTTTTTGTTGTTATTGCTATTGTTATTATATTAAATAATAACAATAATAATACTATAATATGAAAATTAACAGGTAGTTGAGATAGTTTACTACAATGCAAGTATTATTAGGTTATTACCAATTATTCATTAACCCTAACTCGAGATCATCCATCTTTATAGCAATAGCATATAAGTACTGTTTTTTGTCAACTGACAGTGCACATAAAGTACATAACAGGCCATTCATATTCTCTGTTTTTTGATGCTATGAAAATGATGATACCAGTCATTCCTCTAATGAATAATGGTAAAATATATACCATCAATGATTCAAAGTTCTTTAAAGTAACTGGCATGAATAAAGGCAGATGGCACAGAGAGAGAGAGATGTGACAGTAGATGTGCAGAAGTGTCCATTACTCAGCTGCCGTTGTTCATGTTAGTCACTTGATGTTTAACTAGCCATGTCAGAAATCATCTCTTTCACAGCAATAACAAACCTCATCTTCTCTGAAAATCAAGAGAACCAACTAGCATATTGATGAAGCCTCTAGAAGGAATATGAATTCAGTTCACCATTGAAAAGTTTCTTTATAACTAATAAAAAATGGTCCAAGGAATTATATTTTTTATTACAAAATTAATTTCTATGTCTCATTAATGTGGAAATGAAGATCATGCCCTCATTAGAACTATCAATCAAAGAATGATTAATACAATACATATTGTATTAATATATGCAACAACAGGTAGTGGCATTATAAATCATAATACATTACATATGGTTCATAGATATTGCTGGTATGAGACCAGAGTTTTAGTACCGAAGAAAATAAATTACTTTTTAATTCATAAAGGAGGTAAACCAAAAAAAATTTGTAAAACTTAAATTAGTGAAAGTGAATTCTTTAAAATGAAATGTTGACCCAGAAAAATCATTTTTGGAGATTGGAAAGAAAACTTTTGTCAACACTAATCTTAAAAATTACAATTATTATTGATTACTCTTAAATTAAAGTTGTTGTATGAAAATTCTTCTCTGAAATCTCCTATGAGTTTAATATTTACATCCTCCATGCTGTTGTTGTCAGTTTCCTAACAATATGTAACATGTGTCTAACACACACTTAACCTTCCCAGCAGGCGTGCTGTGTCTATAAGCCCATACAGAACAAAATGTTTGTTTACTTCTAGGTGATAAATTATGTTATCCCCTCTTTTGCTAGATCCAGCCAGTAGTCAGTATCACTTGAAGCTCAGTTTATTACACATGGCAGTTAAATATTTCCACCTTTGGTCAGACCAATGGCACCCACTCGTGCCATTTATTCTAAGGTACATTTTAAGTATGCCTTTGCAAAATTATCATATATTTGATTACATTTATTGTTTGTTTTGATATAATTCTCATCAGTGACAAAATACTACATGTCAGATGTTGACAATGAGAATACAAATGAAGTTGAAGACATAGCAGAGATGAGGGAAGAGAACACTTATGCTCAAGAATAAATAAATTCTCAAGATCACATTCAATGGAAGCAGAAGATGGGCTGTCAATTTTTACATGTGGGAAGATAAAATAATTAAATGAAGGAACAAAATCCCACCTATGAACATCTGGATTCATATCAGGAATATAACATCCCATTCTATGAGTGTATGTGAGTGAAGAATGCTACAAGCCCAATTGATCACTGGAAGTACTTGTACAGTGAAGAAATACTTGAAGTTGCAGTTCAGTACACTAACAAATATACAAATGAAAAAACAAATGGACAAGGATATATACACTATCAGAATACAATAGAATAGAATCAAAATAAGGATATCTACTATCAGAAACAGGTTTCTTTGAATCTGGAATGGACAGCCCCCATAAGCCAGATATGACTCACTATCGCTTTTTATCTGGCCCATGTAAAGTTTTACAGTTTTAGCACATTGAAGATAGCTGTCTTCTGGGTTACTGCGCTATGTAGTCTGAACTCGTACTTAGTTTTAGCACATTATTTGATTCATGACTATAATCTATTTAATGCACAAAATATCAAGGTGTTTTATGTTTTAAAGGTGACAGCTCAATACTCATACCTACATAATTATTTTTATGGTCCATAGTTGGGTCCAGTGAGGACAGAGCAGAGCACATTACTAGCAACATTGGCTGTAGCCAAGAGAATGAATAAACTGCTTCTTTTCTGGCGTGTTTCAAAGAACGTCAGAAATGTTGGCAGCACTGTCTCTGTATGGGAATACTCACATAATTTTCAGTAAATACATGCTTGATGAAAAAGTTGTAATTGCTGTGAATAAACCTTACCTGGATGTTTAAAAGTGCAAAATGTATTGCGTTTGCTACAGTGCCACCATATTTCTGTATTCATGGAAACATAATGTCATAGACATAGTGATAAATGATAAATACATCGGTGAAAAACAATAGTCTCAATGTAGCTTTTCCTTGAGTCTCACAAGAAGTGACTGTATTTATAGGCTTGTACACTTCATTTTAAGTATGTTTGAATCAAAACAACTTGCTGTTATGGAAACTTCAATAGCTATCAAATTTGAAACTTCAGGCTCTGAAAATGCTAATCTTTGTGTCAATATACATGTTTCATGGATCATCATGTTAAAATTTAGATTGAATTTATGTACCTATAAATATTGCATTACAAATTCTTATTTTTGCCTAAAATGAGTCACTAATTCTGCATAACACTGAAACATAAAAGCCTCTACATTGTCAATATGGGCAATCTGTATCTTTCTGCAGTCTGTATTTTGTGTAATGCTGATCCAAAATGTCTTCATAGAGTTTGTAGTTTCTCCATGTACGTTTTGTAGGCCTTCATGAATTTTGTCTCAGCAAATGTAATTATGAATTTGTCTTTAACCTTTAATGCTTAGGTTTCACTGCCATATAGGAGTCAGGAGAGTTTACATAGTATAGAATTTTATTCTTGTGTTTTCTGAGCATTCTAGGTTTTCTCAGTCTTGCTAATTTCCATGATTTTCACATGAAAGAAATACTTAGTTCACTGATACCAGGATGGACCAACAAATAGTCCAAATATTTCATAACTTGGTGTTACCAAAACAATGATGATAGATAATTAGTAAAATAAGATGAACAGAATTTTATATCGTATATTGCCTCCTCTGCTTCCACCTGCTAGCAAATGGGATCAGAAGGGAGGTATTTCATCCTTCATGTATTGCTCAAAACATATCACTGACTGAGCAAAACACAGTCATAAATGTGTTTTGTCATGCAGTGAATTTCATTCATTCAAAACTTATTAGGGAGAGAGATATTTGCAGACATAATGCATGCTTAAGAGAATAACTATATAAAACACATCAGAGAATGTATAAAAGCACAACTCTGCACTATGTACAAGTTATGCCTCATCAGACCACAAGCTTCTCTGATAAGCAAATTTACATATTCCCTCATTGGAACTGTTCTCAAAAACTAGTAGTCATTACAGCAAGGAGAGCTATTAGAACCCAGACCTAGGTGGAACAAGGGTATAACACAAGGGTCAATTCTCTATAGTGTATCCTGACATAGATTTGGGATCTGAACTCCACTTACGGAGGACAATGCTTTTATCTACCATGTTTTTACCCTAGATATAGTTGTAGTTAATTATAAATATTGTTCCATTCAAGTGTCATACCATTTAGATGTGCCATTTGTGCATTTACAAGCTGACCCAGTTAAATAAAATCCTCCAATTCAGTTCCCATTTTGCAGTGTGGTAGTGGACCCTCATGTGACTTCCTGCCCAAAATATTATTTGTCAACACTCCTCACTGTGCTATTTCACAAATCTTGTGAAAGTAGATCTATTTTTCCATAATAGTTCAGTTAGCAGTGTTTGTTTATGGTGCAGGCAGCTGGGGTCCAATTCTTGGTGAGTTCTTTTTAATTAACATCTCTATAATGACTTTAGATGCTGCAAAATTTAATTTATATTTTAACTCTTTCATTCAATTTGTTTTCCTTCTTCCCTCTTTCACATCAGAGAAAAAGAGGTGTGCAGTTTGTTTCTCAGTGTCAATGGTTCTAAGATTTCACGAAGAAACAAAATGAGACAAAGACACAATATATTAGCAGTAAGGACAATGCAACATTTGAAGAAACAGTTAAAGCTGCAGAACTGTTTCAAAAACAGATTGTTATAATAATCCCATGCCATTGCTATAATTCTCATACATGAATAAAGGAAGAAAGAAAGTAAATAAAAGCAATGAGTTAAAAAAAGTAATTAAATTTTACAGCCTCAAATGCCACTATACATTTGGTAATTAAAAAAGTTACTTTACTAAGAACTGAACCCCCACTTGCCTACTCTGTAGGAAAACATAGTATCAACCGAACAATTGTGGATAACATAAATGGACATTCTTTACAAGATTTATGAAGTAATGGAGAAGAACATGAAAAATAAAACTGTGTATTTCAAAGAACAGTGGAGTGTCAAACCACACAACATTCTGGCCAGGAAGTCAAAGACGTCTGCTGTCATACTGGAAAACTGGAGCTGAATCAGGGTTTTCAATTGACTTGGTGCCCTTCTTAGTGAATACATGAATCTCACTATATTTACTTAAATTTACAAAGTATTCACTAAATTGCACAAACACAGAATTACTAACTTCTAATATGTTCAAAGTACATCTTCCAGGCAAATATCATTTAAATTTTACAAATTCTATTTCTTATTTAATGTTTTCAAGTCCAATATGATCAGAAACAGATGTAGTATCACCCCTGTTTCTGTGTGGATAATTAACAATGTAAATCTGTTCGGAGCCTGGCAAGGCATTGAACCTCAAAAAAGAAATACCTTATAAAAACACTTTTGAGTGTCAGTAACATGATTTCAACTTGTGTTAAAAATCTGAAAGTAGCAGGATTTTTAACATAATCTATCACAATGAGTTTCATTCAACTGTGATACTAAATCAACCATACCTGATTGCACAATTGCATTATATTTTGTGAAAGACAATAGAATTCACTTCAAATAATATTTTCATAATTAATTATAGTTAATGTGTAATTATTAATTATATTAATAAAGTAAGTGTTTTTGAACTTAAATTAACTTACAATATTTAGTGAAACTGAACTAGAGTCAACAACAATAGAGGCAGTTAAGCAGCTTGTAATTATTTTCAGGATTTCACATTCTTTAGCCTTATAATTTTGAACAAGCACAATAGAAAATTTTAAACTGTACCACAATGATATTCATGGTGAACACACTTGTACATTGATATATGATATCTGTGTCCATTATAATAAAAGTAATTTTTAAAAACTTTTTCTGTACATAACAATTTTTCTGTCACTTAGAAAATTTAGTATTATGTACGATATATTTCACAAAGATATTTTATAATGTGCTTACTGTAATTCAAACTTACCAATACTTTATTTCAACTTCCACCACAAACCAAACTTCTAGTGACTGCAAACATGTCATTACTACAGGAATCCCAACAATAAATGGTCTGTTTTGCACTTTTAAATAGTCATAAATATATAGCTTAATCATAAAACTAATATTATAAACATATCTGATCCAAAATAACTAATCTTTAATATTCCATGTGTATAATCCTATAAAAGTTGGCATATCCTTTATGTCATCTTCAAACATTTTATTTTTATTAAAACTCAATTTATCTATAACAACAAAAGATTTGAAGATGGCTGTCTTCTGGTAGTTACACCGTGTAGTCTGGTAGAAGTTTATCATCATTTCAGAGGTCCTTCTTGCCTCCATCATCCAGACTACACAGTGCAACAATCCAGAAGACAGCCATCTTCAGACTCACTGCCATGAAGACCTCAAATCCTACATAACAAAAGATTTATATTAATTATGGAAGTGCCTTATAATTCTTATAATACTTTGTCAGAAAACACAAAAATAGCAGCATCTGTGCACAGAATTGAAAGGAACTAAAATCAAGTACTCTGAATTCCTTTATTGCTGCTGTGTTAAAGACAGTTTGGTTTCTAGACCATACAAATAATCAATACATATACTAGTATTTCTGTCTTTGAGCTTTTTCCAATTTTATTATGTATTCAATTATGTATTATACATAAAAAGTAACAGTATAACATTTTTAAACATGCAATATTTCTTCCTTTATAAAAATATCAGTTCAGATCTAGGGATATTACTTAATCTGTTAACTAATTTGATTCTTGCCACAGTGGTTCTGAACTAACAGTTTTTTTAAATAATTTAGAATGCTACCCTGAAACACCACTTTTTTAACTTAATTGTCTTAAAACTCCAGATTCTTAAGGTCAGTAGGTAAGACATTAAGCACTTCAAATGCAGTTTAAATGCACAGCAAATGCCCAGCATATGGGTCTCTAGTAAGTTAAATGTTAGCTCTTGATATGGGAGGATTAATATTAGGTACATTTAACATTCTAGTTATTTGAAAATTAAAACAATCCCATATAAAACTTATAGCAAATTATTTCTGATTAGAGATATAAAACTGAATTTATTTTCACATAATTAAATAACTCATAAGATAAAGGTGACTTTCATAAACAGTTTTCCCTAAATGGAACTTCTTACTAAATTTTTAGACTTGGAAATTACAATCTAAAAAAAAGACCTTGATTGTATGTCAAAGTTAGAACCTAAGTTCAACAACTGATACAGACGGTCTTTCAATAATTATCTTTTATTTAATTCCCTGCTTGGTGGACAAACTCTTTATCCCAAGAAAATAATCTAGGAGATGTATGCATAGCACAACAAATGTAGGATGTTCTCAAGAATTTTACCTTTAACCTTTGAAAATGCTGCCAGTGACATCAAAGTTGTCTAGGATCACAATCACAATTACACTGTAGTACCTAGGCTACTGGAAACAGCTCACAAATATGAATTTTTTGTCAGATGAAACTAGAGGGCTCTGAGACTTGCATTAGTTCCATGGCAAAAGCACTTGAAGCATCTGATGTAAAAGAGAACAGGTTCAATTATTTGGATTTATTGCATCAGAATCCAAACTCTCTACTCTAATAATTTGCAGAAAATGCAAAAATTCAAATTATTTATGCCATTAAAGTGGGTTGCTAGGATACCTGCATTTATCAATAAATATATTTTCCCATACGGTGAAACAAGCTCACTTATGAAAAGTGGTAGTTAAAACTGTCCAATCTAGATGCAAGTTCATATAATTTTTTAGTATAAAATTTCATCAAAATTTATTTGACTAAACAATACTAACAGAAGCATGGATGGATTGTGAACATGTCTAAGATACTTATCATATGGACCAGATGATGTCTTACAGAAAACTGTAAACAGAAGTGGCTTCTTAAGAACTAGCTAAAAAACAAAATGCTACATTGTGTGAATAATGAGTACATCAAATATGTATGTCATTCCTGTGTGTGGCATTTTCCTGACACACATTGATTTAGTGGAATGGTGAATACAAGTTCCTTAAAACCTAATTTTGCTCTAAATATATTCACTGGATAACCCTTCATTTTGCATATGTGTGCGTGTAATGAGACAAGTATGAAACTGGGATTCAGTCTTTAACTAAATTCATAGTTGTGATAGATTTAATACCTGGGAATCTTCTTATTTTACTTCTAAGGGTTAGTAACAACCAAAAAAATAATTCAAATGTTGGCTAATGTGATAAATGGACATCCTGGCATGCCTTTAAAACTTTTCATTTACTTTTCTTAAGGAATATAAACAAACATAAAAAGTTAATTTTACAATACATGACAAAATTCTTCAAGAATAACTTTTCATAATCCTCCTTTACTCCCAAACATGGGAACAAAATCCAATATCAGAAATATTTTTAAAACTCAATGTACTTTTGAATAAATGCAGCTACCATTAGACCTACATACTTAGAAACATCATAAACCATATTTATTTATTTATTTATGTCACTAAAGTTCTTATTTTAGGAAACTGAATAATATATTTCTATTCTTTTTATCAAATTTAATCAAATTTGGATGTATCATGAACTGTTAATTCACACCAGTTAATATGTTAATATGTTACTTCTTTTCGAGAGGTGGACACTAGGGACTACATATAATGTATTTTATTTTGTTACTGTGGTATATTTGTTGTGTAAAAATTAAACTGTAAAATTGTGGGCATCATTCTGGTCCAAAGACTATTCAAACCTGAAACTTTTACCCAGTGAGATAAAGACTATTTTTTCCATGTTCAAAATATGGAAATAACTGATACAAATTATAATTAGATTTCCATTTGCCAATTAATGAAGCTCTGCTAATCCTTGCAAACAGTGATTGAGCTGCCAAGATGACAAAAGGAATGTGAATGATCATTATCACTGTCCTTAATGAGGGTGAAAGATACAGTTTCATACCTTAAGCAAATTTATATCATCAGTACATCAGTAGGGCACAAAATGAACTTATGCTACCTTTCACTCATCCAAAATATCAAATAGTCTTATTGTGTTTATTTAGTAAATTGTATGTTTGTATATTTATTTAGTTATTAGTTATTTTTTATTTATGGTTTGTTTAAGATGCTACCAACAGCACATATCAATGTAGTAACAGAAAACAATGGGATGAATAATGAACTGGAAGCAGTCCATGTCCTAATTTAAGGTTCTGTCCGACATATACTTGGAGATACTGAGGGAAACCACTAGAAAGCTCAGACAGGATATCAGGTCTCCAGGTTAAGATTTTAACCCTGGACCCCAAAATACAATACAGAAATGCTTCCATTCAGTCAGTAGTCTTATTAATCTATGGATAAGTTACAAGTCATTTTAATTAAAGTATGTAACAGTAACTTGTGCGTACATGTGTGACATCTACGTATTTGTCCATTATTCTGTTGCTCATATACTTGCAAGGAGGACTCAGTCGACCTCCAATTCGGATCTGGTTTCACAATCCTCTGAGTTCCTGGCCATAATATTTGTTGTCAGCACCCAAGTTATTTCTAATACAAGGTTTTATTTTACATGTTCTTACTGTTACTTCAAAAGTCTTGTAAATGGAACCACCCTTAAGTTAACTGTGGTAATTCAATTAGTAGTGTATTTAGCTGCAATGTGAATAACCTGTGTATGATTGCTAGTTAGGTTCTTTCACTTACCATGTCTATAATGGCTTTGAAGGCTACAAAATTTAATTTCTTTTTAATCTTTATATTTACTTGTTTTCTCTCTGCCTTTATTCACATATCAGAATGACAAGAGTGCAGTTTGTTTCTCAACATTAAAGATATATTTTACAACATTGAAGCTTTACACATTGTCAAAATATGTTAAGATATATATGGTATGCTGACAAATTAATAACACCATGCTTCACTGTTGTAAAATGCTGATGTATTTTTAACCTTTTCATATGAGAAATCAATTGCACTCGTCTCCTCCTCAAATGTAAATAGAGAAATAAAGAAGATAAATAAATGCAAAGACCTAAAAAGTAAATGCAATTTTGTAGCCTCCAAAGCCATTCTAGATATGGTAAAAAAGAACCTAACTGAGAATCAATCATACTGCAGGTAGACATGCTAAACTTTTGCATTCAACTTAAGGGTGGTTACTTTTGTGAGACATATGAAGTAACAGTAAAGAACATGGAAAATAAGGTTGCATATTACAAATAAATAACAGAGTGTTGGCACGTAATATTTTGGCCAGGAAGGCAGAGGAGGCCCCTTTTCCTTAATACAAAACCAGAGTGAAAATGGAGGGTAAAAGTCTATGAGGTTCCAATTCCAGTCTGCTTTTATCTATACTATGGGTGTTTGAATTTATACTATACCCAGAGTCTACAATGCACATAAAATACATTAACAATATGTGTATGCTTGTATACAGAAGGGAGAGGGAAAATACAAACATTGAAGTCTCTTAAGGATATTTTAGTTCCTTTCAATGTAAAACTAATCTAAGTTAATATCATGACCACATATCCAAACACATTTTATCAAATATACTGTTGCTGAATGTTTCTCTTCACCTTTTTCAGTCACAGATTTAAGAATATGTCATGGTCTGATTCCCATATGAAATGAAATATAGGTACAGTAGATTCCAGTCAATTGGGCCGTCGGTTAATCGGGGCAGCCATTTATTTGGGATAAATCTTAAAGAACAAGCTTTTTCAACTCTGTACGTGGAACTTCACATAATTGTGACAGCTGCTTAATTGGGCCAAAGTGTTCTGGTCTCGATGTGTCCCAATTAACCGGAATCCACCGTAAATAAAATTGAACAACCTTCATTTTTCAAGTCATGTAGTCATGTAACAATACACTAATCCTTGATAGGAAGACTGTTGAAGGTTGGATTGATTACTTCTTGCAGTTATGTATTATGTCTTCATTCTAGCAAAACAAGATGCATTTTTGAACCTACGTTGAAGTAACTAACAGTGTTTGTCTATACAGTTGCACCTGAAACTCTCTAAGATGTAATCATAAGCTCAACTACAATTCACATCAGGCACTGCTTTGAGAAGAGCATCATCATATGTGAGCAACAGTGATGAACATGGCATCCATCCAGATTGGTTTCCTTACTACAATGATCTTAGGCACAAAGCTGGGAAGAAGCAGCCCAGTTCTCTAGTAATGGTTTCAATTTTCAACATTGCAGCCTTGTTAAACAATGAAATAGCTAAAAGGAATATTATGTTTTTGTGGAAAATTACCCCAAGAAACTTCTGCAAAATCCAGAATAAATATTATGGTTTTATTCGGCATAACAAAATGTTGTCAAAAATATCTGAAGCTCATGAGATTTATAATATTGGATATATCCACGCCTCGAATTATGGAAGATGCACAGGTGACTCAGACAAATGTCAGCAGTTCAGAAATTCTTATACTATCTTCATCAGTAAACAACAGGTTTGACTGTACTCAGAGTACATTACTGTCTTGTGTCCAAATCCCACCAAAGAGTTATTTTGCTGAGAATGAATTTAAAGGATCATCAGAGGCCCAATGGCATAGGGCTACTGCCTGTAGCAATCCCTGTAGCTGTATCGTTGTATTCACCCCCTTCTTCCCTGTTAATTGCATTCACCATTTCTTCATTCTCCTTTCGAACTGAAAGGAACATAAACAAAATGGTTAGAAATTCTGGTAAAGTAGAAGCTTTAGCTTATAAACACGCACACATTCACTCTGACCACAATGTTTACGGAAATGCTGTAAATGTCTTCAAACATCTTAGAGTGTATTTTCACAAATCAATAGGCAAGCTTGTAGTAATAGGTTACTTTGATTCAAAACAGTACGCTACGTCTTGTGTCACTGTGATAATCCAAGAATATTTGATAGTGAAACAATATTCTTTTGAAGGCTGTTACTTTATGTTAGGTTATATGTTTCACAACATTACATTATGTGTGATGTTAAAAGTTTAGTCATTAGATTGAAAGTTATTTTATTTAGAATATTGCAAAGGGGCAGAAAAATCATTCAGCATATAAATTTTTCGAGGCTTTGATTGAAGTTTCGAAACATCACATTATATAAAACTCTCATCCGTAGCATAATATCATACGGGAGTGAAACATGAGTACTCAACCAGAATGCAGCAAATAAAGTGGGTCTGTTTGAACGGAAAATCCTGAGGGAAATTTTCGGCCCAACACAAGAAGCAGGCGAATGGAGGATAAAAACTAATCTGGAAATCTATAAATTATATAAAGACATACCATTGTCACAATTTATAAAAATCAAGAGACTACAATGGGCAGGTCACCTGATTCGGATTGACGACATCCGAATTCCAAAGATGGTATTCAATGGAAGTGTTGGAGGAAGAAGACCAGTTGGAAGACCCAAGAACAGATGGAAAGATGCAGTTCAAACGGATGTCACACTGCTCCTGAGGATTAGAAATTGGAAAAAGGCAGCGGAGGATAGGACCGAATGGAAGAGGAGAATTGAGGAGGCCATGGACCGAATACGGACCGGAGAGCCATAGAAGAAGATATAAATTTTTAAGGTTGAAGTACCAACTGAATTCTGGTCATCCAATCTTTCTGTCATTATATTCAAATGTGACACTCTTAACTACTTCTAAACACTGAGCAGTTCATCAGTTCTCCTGTACAATTTTATGGTGTGGCGCTTACTAAAACAAAGGGACAAGTTTACTTTTACTTTTATCATTTTAGTCCATTCATCACTGATTTGATCAGTGTTCCAAGTAAGGAAGTTGGTCCAGAAGTAAATTCAAAGTGAAACAAAGTAAATATTTATGTTTTGTCACCAGATTAGAGGACAAAATCATTTTATAAATATAGCAAATAAATCCTTTGAAAATGTGGCAAAATTCAATTGCTTGGGAATGATACAGGTGTTAATAATTCAGAATTGCATTGCAATTATGAGAAAATTTAATGTGGCAAATGCTTTGATACGATGAGTTTCAGAATTGTTTGTCATCCCATCTGCTATCTAAACACATATAGATTAAAAAACATGCAACATTTTGTCTGTTTTGTAAAATTGTGAAGCCTCATCTCAGATGTTGAGGAAGGAACAATGAATAAGGGTGTTTGAGAACAGGGTGCTTAGAGACTGTTTAGACCGAAGTGGAATATGGTGACAGGAGACTGAAGAAAACTGCAATTACAAGCTCCATAATTTTTACTCTCTACCAGATGCTACCAGGATGATTAAATCAAGGAGCAATATGCAACATGTGGAACAGACCACCTAGAAGGACTAAATGTCTATGGGAGGATAATATTAAATGGAGTCCAGGGAAATGGTTTGAAACATGTGGATTGGGTACGCGAAGACATCTTAGGGGGGATGTGAAATTTAAAAAATATATATATTATTTTATGATAAACACTGAATAATCAGTAATGTAATTTATTTAATTTATTTTAGATGTAGATTATATACTATGTATAACTTGAATTATACACCAACAACTTTGGGGGTACAAAGTTGAAGTGAAATTATATCTGGGAGTACGCGAACAAAAAATGTTGAATACCACTGACCTAGATCAATGCAGAGATTGGTGACAGGCTGTAGTTAACATGATAACGAACCTCTGAGTTTTATGAAAGGTGAGGAATTCCTTGACTAGCTGAGTATACTATTAACTTCTCAAGAAAGACTCTGCTCCACGGAGCTAAAGAGCTCGTTGTCTTATCAGCGTGTTTTAGCTAGAGACTTCGTATTATGTTTTGTCTCATTTATGTTAAATTTTAATAAAACAATTTTATAGTTAAAACAAAACGGTGCAATTTTATTGACTGATTCCTGTACTGAGCTTGTGAGTAAATGGACAGAGAACTGAATCTTAATGGAATCAGTGTTCCAATCTCTGGTGGGAAATCCTGAGGGTAAGATGTCAGGGTTGTGATAAAAACCTAAAAAAAATAGACACAAGCCCTAGAAAGTTGGTAAATTATGCTCAAAACAGATAAAAAATACAATGTTTTTGTTATAATATCCCTACCAATATAGGCCTTCGTCATCTATTAGGAGAAAAATTAAAATGGAACTGAAAAAAATTGCACAGAGTACAAGTACAGTAGCTGCAAATCAGCAAATGGGCATGGGGCAGCTGTCGATATCAGTGAAAAGGCAGATCTGTCAAGCTGGCATTTCAGTGTTTATACTGCAAGGGGCATAGCAGTTTTCACTGAATTTTAAATTTTTATAACATGTTTGTATTCAACTCTTCCCTCCCCCCATTGAATCAAACAGATCCACAGCATCTGCTTGCAATTATAAATATGTTACATATAATTTATAATAATAAAAAGCATCTTTATCACCTTTGACTGAATTAATTATGTTAGATAAATCTGTCAGATATAACTAAAGAAGTTCATCTTGTCTGCATTATTCTAATTGCTGAGTTATAAGCAATATTTCATACCTAATTTGCAGACATGTTTATTCTCCATCACCATATCAAATTTCATATTCACAGCTCCAAGAAATTACTAGTTCATCGCTCTCAAAATGTAAAATAATACAGATGCCTGTATTGCATCTGCGATATTATTTTAAGGGACACAAAACAAAATCTTAACAAAGTTTTACTTTTCTTGATATCTATTACTGTAAATACGTTCGGGATGATGGACCTGTCGTCAGACAGAACACTAAATAATAATAATTCTTCCTCCCAGTTTATAAGTTGTTATGTGGTCGCCATCATCTTATTACTCTCTATAGGAATTTATAGAGGGAAAGCTTGGGGAGGATTCCAATGGCATGCTCATAAATGTCACGAAAATTGGTCCGCTGGTTGAAAAGTTGAAGGAGGGGACACACATCATTGTCAGCTCTTGAGTCTACTTAAGGAAAAAAGTCATTCAGTCAGAAAATATAAAGTGTTCCTTCCAATGATTCACCCATGTTTGGATTATTTTCTCAGAGTTAAAAGGTGAAGTATTGTGTGCTCCCAGTCCTAACCTATGAAAACGACTCCGCGAACTGACAAAATGCATTGGAAGAAGTGCCGTTCAGTAGCAGCGTAATTTCGCTTGTCGCCTCGTAGGTATCCGAAAAGTGCACGCCCACCGACATGCAACATAACAATGACAACCCGGTGATCGATAATTTTGTTTCCCTTAACCGGTAGGTCTACAGTGTGACTTAAGAGGGGTATAAAGATTGACATACCATGATAGCAAAGGCGTTGTAAAAAAATGTCATACCCGACGTCACCAAATTACAAACGTCAAGGTCACGGAAAAATCATACAACTTTGCAATCCAACCATGGAGCTTAGGCGAGCTGAACTTTTAGCGGGACTCCTTTCTTCGAGTTGCTGTAAAGCTGTAATTTGAAATGCGATCAATGAGATATTTTGATTACTACACATTTTATTATTTTAATAAATAAAAAATCTTTCCCTGTATTTCAGATGATTTTTCACCGCGTCCTATGCATCCTACTGCTTATGAAATGTAACTGAAGGTTCAAAACATGTTTTCAAAAGCTACATCGCAATCGATATTTTAGTTTGCGAGAAAATATAGGGCACGGTCGGTGACAGCTGACGACTGGGATCGGGTCACGTTATGCAACTTATTTGTTTAGCTATTTAAGAAGAACCTTAGTTGGGTACAAGTTAACAGATGAACATACCTGGACTGTGAATTGTTGCTTAATTTTAGTAAACTATAAAAGCTCAATGCGTTCTTAAGTTTGGCTTTAGCTGACGCAGTGTAATCAGATTCACGCTCCATCTGCTTTATCCTTGAGGTAGGAGCCGTTTGTGTCCCAGACCAAAACTTTACGTGGTGTAAAAATTGATTATAAATATTCCTACAAAATATGTGTTAAATGCTATTTATAGTCTTATGTCAACAGTAACAAACAAAAGTATGCTACGAAAATTGACATTATATTAGATACTTTAACGGAGACATTGTACTTAAGCAACAAGTTCTTCCCAGCAATAAAGAAACACTAATTCTGATACTTCTACTACTACTTATATTACTATTAATGGTACCACTCTTATGTAATTAATAATATGACAACATGAACAAAATATGTTTTTTACAAGTTCTGATTCCAATACGATTCAGTCCTATGACCCCAGAACGTTAATCTACGAGGGAGATTATATATCATTTTTAATCATGTATAAATGTAAGATTAATGACACAAGATTTGTGCACTAGATATGTAGGTTTATGAAATCTGCTCAACCACCTCGATAGTAGTAGAATATAATCCGGAAAATATTAGATTATGACAAATGTTGTTTCTCTACATAATTTTGCAGCATGTAGATTCTACACGTAAATAAATACTAATAAGAACTTCACAGATATGTTCAATATCACCTCCATGGCATGAAATGGAGTTACTAATTCCACTGTTTCTTTGGAATGGCGTTACTAGAACACAATTATATTGCAAAGGCAACTAAGTTCCTTAACAATAAACTCGGTTTCTAATTGCCATTTAGCTTCTTAAAGACCGATGTGAATATTTTGTGACTGTGACGACCAATACAATATGGCGTTGCTTTCACGGCACCATCTTGCGACACTCACTCGCCCATGACAATAATTGTCACTTACAAATTATTGGAACTATGCAAGTCAATTTTCATCGCACTTACTACCTGAAGGAAAACCAACAATAATACGTAATATTTTTATGGGAGAATTTTCTTTAGATGCTGTACATTGTCTCATAGTGACTGGCGACGGACTGGGCGACCGGGGTTCGATCCCCGACGGGTGCAGGGGATTTTTCCTCTAGCCTCTGCGTCCAGACCGGTTCTGGGGCCCACCCAGCCTCCTATCCAATGGGTATTGGGGTCCTTTCCCAGGGGTAAAGCCGGCCGGGGCGTGATGCTGACCACTTACCCCCATCTAGTGCCGAGGTCAAGAATGAGTAGGCGCTATACTTCCACTCCCCCCAAGCGCCTACATGGCGTATAGTGGGAAAAACTTTACTTTATATTGTCTCAATAAAACTTAGAGCTACATAAGACGTTTCGAGTTTCGTTATGTCTCCGTCTTCAGTTAACAGGACAAAGTATCTGAAGATGAAGGAAATGCCAACCTCCGAAACATGGTAAAACCCATATATGTTATACCAAAACGTCCAATGAAATTTACCCGTACGGGTTCCGATATTAGACAACTGTCATTGCTGAAACGATTAAGGTATGATGATTTGTGTTCAGACTTCGGAATAGCAGAATCCTTTCATGTTAACACGTACGAACCTACTTTGACTACAGTTTTATAGCGTTCGAAATCACAGTCTCCAGCCATGGGCACACTACAGTATTGCTTTTAAGAATTCCCACTGAGTTGTTAATCGTTTCCATAAATCGAACGAGATGCCTCACATAAAAGCCATTTCTATTGTAGTCTAAATTTATTTCGCGTTTAAAAGGATGGGTAAGAGTGTAGACAATCCTACTGGTTACATTCAGCAACTATAAAAGTACAAATTGTAATTGTATAGCACTACCGTTTTCACGCATTTCATGTACACAGGTGTAACGTGTCTCTACTTGCTGAAACTAATGTAGTTCATGTATATAATCGGACATTGTTAATAAACGAACAAACACATCACTTCCGATTAATCATCATAGACTGCTTTCCGAACCACCGGTATTTGGTATTGCAGACTGTCAAATGCATTGTGATTTGTTTACATAACTTCAGTCTTTACTTGCCGTTTCGACTCCGGTCACTCAACTCGGAATAAAAAGTCAAATTTTCTTAACTAAATATTTTGGTGTTCGGTTTAGTGGCTGTCCTAATGACCCACAGTAGACAACCGAATTTAAATAAATATTCACGTGGATGTAAATTAACAAACGAAAAGAGACTAAGTTTTTTTGGATCATTTTGAATTGCTCACTTGAGGACAAGGTCAGGATCTTGCGAAATAATCTGACAAGCAGTGGATTTCCCTCACGAAGTTGGCAGTAATAATCATACACTTTGAGGCTGACACATCCACGTTGAAGTACAGCGCCCTTACGTGGTGAAGTGGAAGTCTGAGATAGCGCGTCAGGTGTTCCGATAAAAATAGAAACCCAGAAACGGCGAGTAATATGTTTCTACTGGGTTTTTTTTTTGGTAGCTTAGAACGGAGTAAGAAGTGATATCATGCAGGACTCTCAGAAGAGCAAAGCCAAGAGAGATGTACGTTACGAAAAGTCGTAAGTTTTTAAACACATTCTCCAACACAGTAGCAATTTCTTACCACGCATGAAACCAAACAATTCGACTCATCTCGAGCAATTAATGTAGAAAAGAACTAAATGAATACTCCAACTTCCATGAAGCACACTTAACGAAGAAGAAGGGTAATATTTGTAGGATCTGAGGCGTCTCCTCCATGTTTCCTTCTGGTCATATATCAACGTATCAAATACGTACAGTACTTCCATATTGTCATAGATTTCAACATCCTTAACAACGAAGAACAACGCAGTGTATTTCTCCAAAATATTGTTTTATAACCAGAAGAATACAGGGCGCAATAATCCAGAAGACTGCCATCTAGGCATTGACGTAATAGCCGCTACAAATTTTCATGCTTCAAGGTCACAGCAAAATCTTAGGGTGGCCACACACGTTCCGGCTTGCCGGAAGGCTTACGTCTCTGAAGGCAAACCGGAGCGTGTGTGGTGAGCCTCCGATAAATCTGCATATTTTGCCTCGGGGCTTACTGGATGTTTACAAGTCATAACGTGTGTGGGCAGAGACGAGGGTAAAGGCAAGGATTGTAGCATTTAGTCATCTCAACCAGCCACCGAGAACTTCAAATCCTCGTAGTTTAACAGTTCCAAATATGTGTCCTCATCCATTTGCAGGTAGTTACGCCAGTCCGTCGGCTCTAATCGAATTTCATTCAACAAATTTATGTGAGAACGTTTTGATCCATCTAACCAACTTCTGACCCACTTAGAACGTTTCAACTTTCTTTTCTTTTTCAACATTAAAATCGCTTCGTCTTCACTGAACTTGTTGTAGCATCGACTGAAGAATAAAAGGACTGAGCACAAACTCGCCACAAAGTCTGTACGTGTGTGGACTCTCAGAGGGTTGAGGCTTACCTTCCGGCTTTAACTTGGAAGGTAGGCATTCCGGCAAGCGGAGCGTGTGTGGTCACTCTTACAATTGCAATGTGAACAGCGAAACCCAGGAGAGTGAAGACAGTTCAGAACTCGGATTGTAGCAAAACTAGAAATTCTGTACTTTTGATGTAGAGCCTCGCGGTAACTGAGGTTAAATTGTTCCGTGGCCTTGAAGCACAAAATTTGATGACGGCTACTGTAGAAATTCAAAATGTAAACGTTACCACCTAACGGGAGAGTAGGTTTCAACAGAATTCTCACATAACTGCCTATGATCTTCAGATTAACTTATTTAACGACGTTTTGCCAGTTTCATAGTGCAGGTTTATAGGGCCCATACTGTGTCAGACGTAAAAACTGTGAGTAATGCACTCTACAAGATGCGGAAGGAAGTTTCCATGAGGACCGTTACTAAAGCACACATTGAACTAACCCGTGTATGTGAGGGCCGAGATCTATAAATACACATACGGACACGTTGTATCAGCGTTCATAGAATGAGTATCACACACCATTAAAATAAAAATCAGAAACGTCTCTTGAAAATATCTGCGCATATATGGAATTACGAATGTATATATTTCCGTTTCTTATTATCTTCAAATTTCCTATACTGAGACTGTTTTATAAGTGAAAGACACGCTAAGTAAATATATTCGTAAAAGAAAAATATTTTAACTTCTAAATACTGTTAGTCAAATATACGGGAAGCATTTATCATGTGGCATGTTCTTTACAGTGACACTCTCGTTGTGGACTGAGGCTTAATTTCTGACTGTATGCAGAACGTAAATGGCAGTCTGAATAGCTAGACTGAAGATGCATTTTCAGACTCTAACATTAATATTCTTAGGCGCATTTATAAAAATACCGCTGGGCCCAATAGGCCTTCTGCCATCTTTCTTAATATTTAGCCAAAGACGGAAGCATAATCCAAATTATTATAATTTTATAATTTAGAAGATGAACAAATTCATAAAAACCATTTTGCATATTCTTTATCCTCACTCATATACACTAATTTTAATAATTTTTAATCAAATAACCACGAAAGATTATATCAATAGTTGGATCTATTATATACATCACGCATGTCAAATCGTGTGTCTACTAAGACCCTTGAAAAAAGATACTGTTCCAGGGTTCTTCACATAGGTGGGAAAGATCACAGCCGTCTATTTTTATTAATTGTTATGGGCTTCACCTTAAGACATATTTTTCGTTCCCTTATTATTCTATAAGCACACACAAATGTGATTCTAATTCAAATACATTTTCAGTTTATGTACTTGAAATGTAAGCCGCCGGAACAAGCAACTTAGAATTTGTTAAACTTAGATGTTTATGGCCGCACAAAACATCGGAGATTGACGGACTGCGACGACGAATGCTGGATACGACTGCTCCAAGTTATCTTAAAACAAACAGCATACAAATGTGGAATTTTAACTTCAAAAACTTTCGTTTCTTATTGTTCGGTTTCATTGTACTTGGAGTATTTTTTAGGTGTTTAAAACTATACGAGTGTCTTTATAAGGTAGGGTGAAAGCAAGCCCACAGCGTCGCAACAATACACAACAATTACACTGTCGTAATTATTAAAAACATTCAGTTTATTTTAACCTATCCAAAACATAAGTGCAACACAATTCCGAAATATTTTTCAAATTACGTTTGTAATATTATTCAAAATACTGTTGTGCCATGCACCTAAAGGAGAAATACACGAGAAAGAGAGATAGAGAGAACACTAAGTTTCCATTTCATTATTAATCATGTTATTGGATTTCAAGTATAGGGTTAGGTGAATGATCAAACCAAGGAGAAACAGGAAGGTTGGCGCAGAAGGGGATATGGAGCCCTTGAAAATTCCTAAATACACGAATTGTGTTTTACGAATCTGACACATTTCGCAGACGAATTCATGGCAAATTGTGCTTTTGTGGTAACCGATTCTCTGTGAATGTAGGTTCTGCACTGCTACTGTAAAATATATCATAGTAAGCCTAAAATTTGTACTTTTATTACAGAAATAGTTTTATTTGTAAGCCTTCTTGAGAAGCTTGTGAAATCTGGCTCTGATGTATGGCAATAATTTTGTGCTGTATTAAGTAAGAACTTGAAGCTTCCACTCTTTCATTGCAAAGACAGATACTTGAGGACAGTCTGACTGGTCTAGATGAAATAAACCCCAACCAAACTGACTGACTGCATCTTCACAATTTCTTATTGAATCTCTTATATCACATTTGCATTTGAATACACAAGGCAGCTAGGTAATCGTGGATATAAATTTCATAATATAAATTAAACTGAAGAGAATGCAAAAATGTACGAGCTCTGTGTGAAACAAACTAAGATAAAGTGAAGCTTTCGCGGCGATGAAGTTGATGAAAGACTCTGGGGTTACAAGTCGCGTCAGGTGGCTGAATGGTGAATAAACCATATCTTCTGTCAACGTTTCGAGAGCAATCTCTGCCCTCATCCTCAGGGCTGCTGCGTAACAAATCTGGTCCTTTGTAGCACTCTCGCCAATGAGAACTCGTTACGCACCAGCCCTGAAGATGAGAGCAGAGATTGTTCTTGAAACGTTGGCAGAAGATATGGTTTATTCACCATTCAGTCACCTGAAGCGACTTGTAACCCGAGAGTCTTTCATCAAACTAAGATAATTTTTACGTAGGCCTGTTTAACTTAATTCTTCTGACACATATCTTAAAAATATCTTATATTTCTATTTTTGTTATCAACGTTTAATTTAATTGTTGTCATTTGATTTAATTTGCTTCATTCTTGCCAATTTCGCTTTTAAACTGTACCTACTATGGGATAGAGAACCTATAGTCTTGGAACACAATGTAAGGAGATGCCTTATTAAGGCAAAGAATAGAACATTTTATACCAGGCACATTCCTGGCGTATAAAAATAGTTATTTACCAGTTCCCGTATAATTTATACGAGGATAGTGACGCTGTGTTGACTCAGGAAGGTAGTACGAATTCCTGTGGAAAGAGCTGTGGGTCAGGGTGACCACCACAGCCAGCACGCTGCAAACCACCAGGAAGAGAAATGTAGAGATCACCATTAGAACCACGATGCGTCTCCTACGTTCCTTAGGATGCAGCTCTTTGTGGGGCAGCTTGAAACTTGAATTACGATGTAAGTGACATGATTCCCTTCTTGTTGACGAACGTTTTGAGCCACCGTCTATGCTACTGCTGTTTTGACGTCTTATTCTTCCATTTCCACTTCCCGTACTACGGTAACTGAAGCATCTTACAACAGGTCTAATTTCCGATCGTTCGATAGTTCCGCCGTAGCTGTCTCGGCGCCGCGGTGTTCTTCTGCTGCCATTGATACTCCTGTTTCGCTGCAACCGTTGAGGTCTTGTTGAAGGACACACGTCTGACGCGTGCCTTACTAATCTCACAGGTTTCCTTTCTCCCACTCGGAAAGATCTCTCCCTTGTCATAAGGATTCTAGGGTGTTGCAACCTTTGTATAGATTGCTTATAACGCAAATCCAACGCCGAACCATCAGCTTCATCGTTTGACGAAGGAAGAATGTCATCCATGTAGAAGGATACTCTGTTGGCGAGAAAATCTCTTGGAGAATCAGGATGTTTTTGGCGTTTAGAACCTTTTATTGGCCTTTGAGTAGAATCATTTGCCTGTAGATAGAGACTATCAGACTCAGTATTGCAGTTATAATGATCTGTTGCAAATCTATTTGCAAACATGTCTGAGTGTGTTTGTATTTAAATTGATGATTATATATAGACTCAAATTATTCCGTAAATAGTCTGTAACTTACAAACTGAGTGCAGCACCCATAACTGTAAATTGATGCATAAGCTTTGTAAGTTATATAATCAAAATATCATTCAATCTCTTCTGCAAGTGATATCAACATTTGTGAAGTAACAATAGATTAACTTTTGGTCTAAACCGATGTCATTTTGTTTTCATGACACAGCTAGTTTAAATAAAATTACATTTTTCACAGCAATGAAATTATCTATTTGAAATAGCAATGAGATAATGGATTTGAAGGGCTGTTGTAACGCTACTTACGTTGAATTAAACAATGAATATTAACAAATATCGTCCAATGTTCGGATTGTGTGCTACAAATATTAACATCTGCTACTTGTAGAGAAATACTGAATCACAATCAGCACATTCCACTTCGATACGAAAAAATATCAACCATAAAGAGTTCATGTACACACCGAAACTTTACGAGTAGCGTGATTTGTTAGATGCTCCGTATGATAAATATTTTGAGTTTGACGTAAACATCCTCTGTCAGGCGTCCGTTTCTTAGCAATAGTACAAAGTTTATAAAGCTCATCATCTGAGTACAACATACAGTTCAAAAGTCCCATTTGTTATTGTAAGAGCTGCTTTGTCAGTTATTATTCAGTCTATGGTGAAACAATGCAGACAAAAATATGCACGTTGTTTACTGTCTGTAGAATATTTTAAACACAATCATCATTTACTTGTGCATCGTTTGCAGATTTAACTCTCCTTTTTTTTTTGAAGATTCACTGAAATTTCTTCACACTGAGATTTATGGACGGCTGTTAGTAGAAATGTATACACATTCCCAGGGCTCCTAGCGCAGAAGTTGTTTGTTTGTTGTTTCACTGCCAATGACTCGAAAGGCTTCAGGCGCCGGCGGTATCCGTTTGTCCACTTCAGAAGTTAGTGACAGGACTGCGGGCACGAATCCAATGCTTTGTTTATCATACTTTATGTGCACACTCACAGGAAATATGTTCTAAATAAAGTCTCTACACTTAATTAAGCCACGTTTGACAGGAAAAAACTTGAGAAATACTGCTCAGTGAACAGTTTGGACATTCGGTACAGGTAAGTTATTGCGAATATCATTCTTCAACGTCCATAAGAATAAACTAACTATTTAAGTATATTTATTAACTATCTTCTTAAACTATTGCTTCGTTTGTGTCACTGAAATAAATCTTTCAACCTCCTTTCTCGCAGTGCCACTATTCCTGTAATAATCACAATCCTACAGGTGCTGTCGGTGATTCTGTGTGACTGAGTAAAGTCGCGGGCCCGTCCACAAGGACGTCACAAAAAATGAACATTGTTCCCTATTCAAATAACACAAACTGTTGATTCACTGAAGTTATTTCGTATTTCGTGGTATTAAAAGGCAATATGACTGATATGTTGACAAATTTGCTTAATAAAGAATTTATCACACCCTGGCGATTAGAGATGTAGGGACTGAGTCGAATGTAATTACTCGCGGCCAGCAAACACACAGCAGCCAGCCTCTTCCCACCGTCATGCACTGCTAGTCTGCTCCAGCCTCAACTCAGAGTTACGACAAGTATAAAAGGATGGAACACATTACACCATTTCTCCTTATACTCTTCTCCTTCTCCTTCTCCTCCTATTCCTTTATTTTTTCTCTCTCCAGAGAAGTCAGCCAAAATCTGCCTGTGGATTCAATGTATGCGGGTGCCAGATTAAGGGTTCACAAATCTTCTTCGTCGTCTTTCCCTGTCATACAATTCCTTTTTCTTCTTCTTGTAGTTTTACTTCTGGGTTTGCAGCTTCCCCTATCATTCGTCTCTTTCTGGTAGTGTAGGGTGACGATGTATGCTACACCTTACACTGTGAACTAGTCCAGGGGAGTATCTGGAGCGAACGGGATGCATTGGAGGGAACAGTCCCCTCTCAGTATCCTTGTAGCAGTCTTATGACGTCACAGCCATATCACGGCGCCAAAAGAGTTGTAATAAATTGCATGATAACCTTGTCTCATACAGCTGTGTCAGTGTTCAGCATTAGAAACATTTGCAGTGCTATTATTTTCATCTTGGGTATTTAGAGTCGCGTATGGTTGTCATCAAAATTTCAGCAAACATTGCACGATATTTGTTAAATGACAGAGACATATTAAATTTGTGGATTCGTACCACAAACTTCAGTCACCAGATGATGCTTAAAACGGTGAAACGATAATTTCACTTTGTTGTTATTGCATTTCAACCATCTACTGCAGTATGTGTCTAGATTTCGATGTAGGGATGGCACATTTTCGGGTTATGTACAATCTACGTTACCTTAACAAAATTGTTGCAAGTCATCAGTAAGGTTAAGAAACTCAAACTACTTGCTGCCGTGGGCTTAATTAAGCACAACACGCCAAGAAGACCCAAACTCGGCGGCCGAGTGGTTCCACTTTTCCATCGTATTCGGGTTCAGATCTTTGTCCAGAGACCGGTTCTCGGCCCTGGGGCCGATTATCCTGACGAAGTTTTTACTCCGACCCTTGCAACATGCGACGACAATATCATTCACAAACACCTCATCATTTGGTATCTTAGGCTGCAAAGTAAGGGTTGTTACAGAAATCGAGAATCAATCGACCACATACTTGTAGCGTTCGATCTATAAATCTTTCGATAACGAGAATATCTACAAAAATTAATTTGGTGCCGTCAGAATGTAAGCTGCGTCTGTCGTGTGAATTATCATGTGGTCAGCCAGCTTCAGGTCACCGATAGCCATATTCCCGTGTGTTTCTGTATAAAATAATGCACTTCTATTCTGTAGCATTACATCCGGGTGTGTTCTTAGTTTTCAAGCACTGTCACCTCGTTCACCTCTTATTTTTCACACTTTTTACACTGTTTTAAAAAATCCATTTCAGTTACACTACATTTCTACCGATAGCCATTATCAGGTCTGCTAATTATGCCTGGGTTCGCTCACGCCATGATGCAAGAAAGAAACATTTTAAAAAAAAATTAAAAATATACAGTTTTTTTTTTAATTTACAGGCCTGCTATCACTTAGTATTAGTTGAAACATTTAATCAAGTATGCATGTAAACAAACAAAAATGGACATTTGAAAGGCTTGTGAAAATAAGGAACAAACAAATTAACGATGCTTCAAAGTGAAAATAAACTTGTAACTTCGTTTGTGAAGGGTGATTTAATATTTCTCAAGTTATTATGGCTTTATAACTTAACCATCATCTAGCCTATAAACAGTTCTCCTGCAAAAACAGAAGACATATTTTTATTTATATGAGAATGTTTATGATTTTCAAGCTATAAAATACTACCTGAACAATCACGTGTAAGAATTCCGTGAATGCAATTTCTTTCAACCTGCAATTCCTTCCCTAAATTTATTCAGATGGCAAGTAAAGGTGCATATGTTATAAAGAAAGTTTGTGATTATGAGACCATGGATTAAGTAAAATGGGTTCAAATTCCATTATACTGTTTTCTCATATGTTTAAATTCTAAGTACTTGTACATTTATGTTGTAAAATGTGGTGAATTTCCTCCGGGTGGAATGGCAATGATTGCCTCTCATACATCTTGTAATATACCATGTCACTTTGCACAAATCAAACAGGCAAAGTTCCTCGCCTTCCAACTCTCCCGTATGTAAGCTTATTGTACTTAACATTTAACTTAAAAAGCAGTTATCAGTTTATACCGTAATGAACTGATTAACTGATAGTTCTTCGTTCGAATTATTCCTATTATATTAACCTAAAAGACGTTCCATTTCTTTAACTTACATTTTTCCTAAAAACCAGACGACTGGCAGGTGCTATGTTAAAAAGTATTGCATAATAACAGATTCTATGAAGCCAGAATTTTTTCCTCAGTTAGAAGGTACGAGATGATATGTTTGTTTCTTTGTTAGGTATTATTGAAACGGTTTGTACTTGAAGGCTTCATGTACGAAGTATTTCATTTATGTAATAAATAAATGCATTAGTGAGCATATCTAAAGTATTACAAACAGTGACTATAGCACTTACGTATTTCCGAGCTAACTTTATTTATGTATGTAGTTTCAGGTTTCAACAGACATTTTAAATTCTCAAAAACAAATTTAATAGCCCTACTATGCTTCCCCAGGTATACATAAATCTTAAAGTTTTCAGAAGCAAAAGGAATAAATATCTCTATCTAGAAAGGGCCCCAATTATTACTGTGACGAATATTGTTTTTCAATGGTAACATACGCCTTCCGTTATACCTTGCGTTTTATTAAAAAAAAACTCTATGTGTTTATTACATTAGTAGTACGCATTTTAAGATAGAAAATTCATGTCTTATAATCAAGGGGTCCTCAGTCACTGACTGAAGGCCGTTCTAAATTATTATTGAATTGAATTATTATTTGTTCCTTGTATTTCATTAGCGTTTTACATTTATAATAGTGTTTACCTAGGTGGATTATTTGCTTTCATTTATTTCTCTTTTTGTATCATATTGTTTTTTATTTTATGTTTGCGTGTATTTGGCTGTTATATTTATTATGGTACATTTATATATTTAGTTAATCTGTTTGTTTTTTGTATTTGTAATAATTTTCATTATGATTATGATTATTATTTGTTTCTGTACTCTATCTGTAATTGAGTACGTGACTGTTGATGCAGCACATTAATAATAAAGAAATTAATGTAATTATTTTGTATTGTAGCATAATTGTACTACTAACTGACAGAAAAAACGACTTAAAATATGTATGATTAATAGAACATAATAGGGTCCAATAAAAATACACTTAATTACAAGGAACCAAGAAAGAGGCTGTAATTTTAAAAAAATAAACAATAACAATTCTATTAGGAAATCAGTCTAATGCAACACAGATGGGTCGATTACAAAAGAACAGAAGATTTTGAAAGGACAGATTTCATATTATTTGCAGACACGCAAGGAGTAATTTTCCTGGCGCGTTCGCCAGAATTTGACCTTAGACCTTTAACAAAGATAAAAACAGCGGTCATAGTATCTCTGGAGATTCCAAACTCAGTGACTTCGGCGTGCACAAACGCACGTAAAGGGCCAGTGTTATTGAACTTTATCCAATGTTGCAATGTGTGGACATATTTCATTTAATTATAGTTTATTTTTGTTTGTAGTTGTAGTTATTTATAGTTCATAATGTCGGCCTGCAGAACGGCTAACCTGACTGGGATTTTTCGTAGTTTTCATCAGTCCTCCAGCCAAATTACGGGATAGTACCTTAATTAGGCGACAACCGCTTCCTTCCACATCCTTTCCAATTCATTATTCACTATTTTTCATTCGATACTGTACAGTCTTAGCTTCTGAAAACTCGTCGTTAAATTAACTATAAATAAACAAATAAAAACACATATTTTTGAAAAAACATCCGATTTTATCAAATATGAAAATCGATTTAGCCGTTCTCGAGCTGTTTCATGCGAACATGCAGATGGACGGATAGATTTTAATAGGCGCTCAGCAGGCATGTAAACGAAAAATAAACAGGGTCGTTATGACCTGAAGTTGATTCACAAATGGTATCAAAACACGCAGCTGATTAAACACAGTATTAATTATAATAAAAATTTGTGGTGACATAAACGTAAATAATCAATTTGTCTTTTTGTAGTCATCCTCCTTGCTGCGCAAATATAATGAAGAAGCTGTCCATAATGGTATTCTTACGGGAACTACATTTTCACCATTGTTGAGGAAAAAAAAGCAGAATATATTTTCAGGTAATACTGTCATGTATTTAAACATCAATGGATATAATAAAAATATTTATGACCTGAAATGTTTTACTACTACAAATAATAATAATTTATTCTTTTTTATTAAGAAAATGATCGATGTTCTTTATTTCGGCTATAAGAAAAAGAACTGTATTAATTGACTTCATCTCATTAGAGAACCACAGCCATTTATTCGCTCCCTTTCTTCATTATTTATTTATTTATTTATTTATTTAACAAGTTTTCCTACCTCTTGCAGAAAGAAATTATTAAATACTGCAAGAAGCGTTCAAATGATTCATTTTATTCATTTATCATAAATGTAGAACATGCTGTAAATTTTAAACATCAAACTCTAATTTTTACGGCGTTCCAAGATGTGATGCTAACATTTCAGTACATCCACCGGAAATAATATATCCGAGATCTATTCCTGGCTGGGACTGACACCATGTTTGCGACATCTTTGATCTCGGTTCAAGTAACATATTTGGCGTGCAGTATTTGACATCCTTATATAAAAATATTCCGAGAGAAGATATTTCCGGTCACTTGTCCGTCAGCTTTCATGTTTGCTCCATATCTACTGACGAGGTGGATTCTGGCCGGGGACACGTGCAGAGAGAAATGCTAAAATCTGAATCTTAAAACCCACGATGGATGTACTCGGAACATCATTCATCAGTCACGAAACATCTTAGAAGCGCATTCTATGAAACACAATAGTTTCTCATTCACAATTCATGAGGTCCACTCACTTAAACAATTGCTTTTAAAAATTTGCAATTGGACGAACGTAGTGTGTAAAAAAGAAGTTATTTGATCAGGCTGTGGAAATCCTTACGAATAAATTTTAATTATGCCTCTAGGTAGTGTCTGAAGGAATGCACGAAAAACAGGTTAGAATATTAGGATTTTCATTCTTTGGCGAAATCAATAAATGGGCCTCTCCTACATCCACAAAAAATTTTGAACATTGACCCTCATCTGAGGAAGGCCTATATCCTATTTAATATACATGACATTAGGGTGTTTGCTCCTTTCCTTGTGATCGATTATTATTTCATAACAAAATATTATTACTTTGTGGCTATATAATTGAATTAGTTAATTAAGATAATCCGCTATCTTTCAGAAAAGTCGCCATTAACACTTTTTCTAAATAACAATGAGAAAGTGATAAAAAGTGATCGAAGAATTATGAACCCTATGTCAAATTATTTATTGGTGGATGCAAATTCAATAAGGTAACTGGACCCAATATAGGCTCCCTTGAAATATAATCGAAATTGTTTGTTTTCCCACAGAACGCACCACGTGGCTGTTCAGACATGCAAACGGATAAAGATACACAGCATCAGTAGTTGTGAACACTAATAGTGCATGACGAGACTTGTTTGTGAAAGGTTAGAATCTCTGAGTACGAAGGTGTTTCCAGGAAAGCGATAATTTAATGTCATTCTTTATAACTATAAAACGTCAACATGGCAACAGAGACAACTTCGTGTACATGATGATGCATCTCCATTTTACTGGTTGTTATCTGAAAGGTTTCTGTTAACAAAACTCCAAATATAAGTACATGGTACCAAGTGTGGGCATAGGGTTTTCGATAACTCGCACCATGTTGATGAAAATTTTCCTAAATTAGAAAAGTTTCTAATGATTGGAAACTAATTATTTCAAAAAATGGTGCCAACATAGAGAGAAAATAGTCTTCGAGAAGCTGTTACTGCAGTTGAAGAAAGTATGTATGTAAAATGAACGACCTGCCATTCATTTCGAGTATATGACGTTTCTTTCTATTACATTTTTCTTTGTGTGTATTAACAGTTTATAGGACTTTAACACGATTTCATGAGTATGTCGCGTGAAAAAAAATATTATTTTAAATTCTGGAATGTGCTTATAATTGAATTATGAGGTTCCTAATACAAACACTTTCCTCCCTTACACTTAAAGTTTCTCCTGTATCCCCGACTTATTTTACTTGAAAGTCAATAATATATCTTCATTTTCAATGCAATAAAGAACATATCCCTTGAAGTTGCAGCACTCCGTCTTAAAGAGGAAATATCATAACATTTTCCAAAGCTTAAGGTGCCCGTAATTGGCCCAGGCACGTTACAATTTCATCGAATTAACAAACGAAACATCGCAATGACTTTTGAAGAGCCCACGCAGGTTATGTCATGTTGACCTGCTTGGGTCAGTGTCAGTTGTCTTTATTGTCGAAAACTACTTGCCGTCTCGTTCTTACTTAAGCTGACAGAATGAGTTCAGGGACAGATTTTCGGATTCTCCTGTGCCACACAAATTGACAATATCTCGTCTGGTGAACCGTGTCCGTGACATAGGAACTCTTCACCGGGTTGCATCAAAGACTAGGAAATGAAGGGATGCATGCATCGCTGAACGCGGCGAACATTTCCAACGCTTAATTTAACCTTGTTTTCTGTTTTCTAATATCAATGTATTTCTTTGACATATTGAACATTTGTCAGCAATGGGTATTGGTGACTTTTTGATCATCGTGCATTCAAGATAGCCTATATGACATTTTCGTGTTTGACCCTTTTCTTATAATTGGTTGTCATTAAACTATCAAATTTTTAACAGATTCCTGTCTTCTGGCTTGTTGCGCTGTGTAGTCTGGTCGATGTATACCAACGTTTCAGAGGTCATACTGCGCCTGCTCCCATTGGCTCAGGGCAGGCTACACCATTCACATTCCGGCACCTATAAACCTAGCCCCACACACCCTATTGGCTTATTCATCACCCTGATGACGGAGGCAGTATGACCTCTGAAACGTTGGTTAACATCGACCAGTCTACACAGCGCAACAACCCAGAAGACAGAAATCTTCATACTCACCGCTGTGAAAACCTCAAATCATATAAATTTTTACCACTTTGTGTCAACAGAATTAAATCCGTTAATCCAGCGGTTAGTACAATAGTTTAGTACTTAAAGGCCCCGCGTTCGATCCCAGCCGTCGCCATTAACAGGCCTATTAAAACAACAATAATAAAGTAATAAAGGATATCAATATAATAATAATAATCAATTACATAAAATTAAAAATACATTCAACTCCCGAAATGTTTTTTAAAACTTTGTACAATGTACAAAATGTACAATGCTTAACATAATATTGGTACAATGACCCGAGTATTGTCACAAACCTTTATTTATTATGTAATAAACCTATCTACATCTACAATGTACAGAATGTTCCAAAAATATGTGTATACATTAAAATACGGAATATTAGCCTTGTCCGTATTTTTTGTAGCTAATTTAACAACGCTTTTTCAATCGCTCAGACTATATGGCGACGAATGAGAGTATGATAGTGCATTTCAAAGGATGTGGAAGGAAGCGGTCGTTACCTGATTTAAGGTACTATCCTGGAATTTTCATGGAGGGACTGAGGAAAGCCAAGAAAAGCCCAGCCAGGATAGCGTCGGGTTGATATTTGAACCCGGAATCTCCCGTATACGAAACAGGAGTGTTAACCACTCGAGCAGTCGACCAAGACATTCGTTTCTTTCGGTACTGTTGGCCTATAAAATATTATCAGATCTGGAAAGAATGCGGTTAGTAAATTCAAGGATCCTGATATTAGACGTTGTCTTTCTGAATGAGCAAGTTGGGTAATGGAGTGGGAGGAGCAGAAGGGAGTGCTTGTTATTAATCTTCCAGGATTTATTACGAACTGTAGTATACTAGAACGGGTGAGTGAGGTGGGATATTTCTTGGCACGTAGATGGCTGCTGGCGTGTTCCAATAAGGTTGCAGGTGCACGATTCTGGCTTCTCAGAATCATTCAACTGGTTGCCGATTTAGTAACTTTTATGTCTAGCATTTGACTTCTTTTATTGCTTGGCAACAAGCCACGTACATGTTCCAGTAGACAAATTGCAAAGGCCCAAATCGGACTCAAACCAGAAGCCATGTGGTCATAATCTATTTGTGAGTTTTGAAACAAAAGGACAGAGTATTTTAGTCACCCGTTACTATTCTTCTCTTACGTAACTGGGGCGAGATTTATACGGAGCAGAACAATGGCTTGCATATGGTGAGTCCCGAATTCGTTAAAGTTGAGAGGAGGTTCAGAAGTAAGATTTGAGTTTTTCGCGGCGGTGAGTCAAGATGTCTTCTGGATTTTTGCGCCGTGTAGTCTAATAGAACTGGATTACACGGTGCAACAACCTAGAAGACAGTCATCTTCGAAAGGAGGTTCCTTTGTACAATACAAGAAAGTGTATAGGTTTGATTCAATTTGGATCCATGGGCCTATCGTCGAACAAACTCAGGTAAATGAACAAGCGTTCTAAAATATAATATGCATTTTTTCTAGTGCTGCATTTGGCTGCTTTATATGCAGATGATATTAGAAAATTTCAGCATATCTGTCCTAGCTTTTCTGTCATTTGAATACGACACCGTCGTAACGAGTCGTCATTGCCTTCTGTGTAAGTCTAATCTGTTTTTATATTGTCAACAATCACCTAGCCACCACAAGTAGAGAGAAATAAAGGAAGGGATTTTCAGTGCTGGTTTATTTGAACTGTGCTTTTTCAGTATCACAGGTTTTGAGTAGACAGTGAGAAATAATTTATTTAAGGATGAATGTCAAAGATGAGGAAGGTAAGAACATGCTATCGAGATGGTGAGAAAAACTACAGAAATCCTCGGCATAGCCGGTCTCAGGGCTGAAAATTGAACGCGAGATGTCCCGATACAAAGCAGCAGTGAAAACCACTCGACCGCAAAGTTCGGAAATATAAACGGGCAGGTTATTCGGACCAATCGCCAAATATATAATTATTCGGCCGGAAAATTGAAACTTAAGAATACAACACGGGAGTTGACGGCTCAAATGATGTACCCTCTTAAGGTCTGGAAAAGAACAGCATATCTACCGGATAGCTTATGAAACAATAAGGAGTTTCTTGTATGAAGTGGTATCAAGATACACTCACTTTAAAGGCAATCGCAAGTCTGGAACTAAGGTGTAGCCTGCGTGTTGAAATCCAAGCGGCAGACCAACGGTTGCGTTAATGTGTTCCCAAATTTGATTAAACTCAGGCGTTTTAATGTGCTCCAGATGATCTACTTTAATGATAATCTAATAGGAAATGAGGACTATGGTGTAACAGTAATTCTCAATACAAATTGGTTTCTGGATACCCTGACAGGTTGCTCGTTGTTTAATACAATGAATTCTATATTAGCAATCTATAAGAAGCCAGCAGGCCTAACTGGAGATAAAAAGGTTTCAAGATGTTACAGCCCTTGAAGTCCTTCTTCGATGTTGAGCCGTGTAGCCTTGTAGGTAGTGACCAAGGTTTTAGAGGATCTTACTGCCTCCATCATCAGGATGATGACTCGTCACCCTGATGATGGAGGCAATAAGATCCTCTGAAACGTCGGTCAGTATCGCAATGAGAACTTTAAATGTCACCTTTAAATGCCTTACTGTTTTGCTGAATTTAAGAAAAAACCGAATCTACACTCCGTATGACAAGTCCGTAATAGTATCAGAAGGAGAAGACAGTCAATTAAAACTCCATTTCTGGACTCAAAGCTCTGTCCCTTCGGATCTTTATAAAAGATAGGCCTATAAATAGACACTGATCCAGTCGAGATAAATTTAGCCTTACTCTCGGCTAATAACAACGTTATGCAGTTAACATGGACAAAGTTGCAGATGTTGAGAGTTTCGTAAAGCTTTCAGCTAGTGGAAAATGACAGCGTTCTGATCCGCATGGTTGTGCCTGCAAAATCTGTTTCAATTACTGCCTTTGCGCAGTGTGACAAACCGCAACAGATATATGTCATATAACAGCTACAAATAAACCCATTAAGAAGTGAGATTTCAGGTTCTCACGGCAGCTGATATGAATATGTCTTCAGGAATGTTGCGCCGTGTACTTTCGTAGAAACTGACCGACGTTTCAGAGGTATTCATTGCCTTCATAATCAGAAATAATATATGAAACCAAGAGAAAGCAAGTGTCTGTAGAAAAGTGAACAAGACAAGGGAGATGAGACGGAAAACGTGAATGTAAAAGAAGACTTGGAAGAGGTAAGTGCGGATATATTAAACGAATCTTAAAGAAATGTGGGTTGGATTCATGTGGCTCAGTATAGCTGCCAGTGCAATCTCTTATTAACACGGTAATTAACGCTCGGGTTCTACGATATAGGAAAGGGAATTTCTTAGCAGCTGAGCGACTGCTAGCTTCTGTAAAAGGCCTCTATGCAGTTAAGTACTGTATACTTTGCGGTTGCTAAACAAAGAAGGCATTTATAATATCGTTGCCAAACACCAATAAAATTTTCAATATACTTATCACAATTATCATTGTCCATAATTATCTTACATTTAATTTCGGGGATAATACTGAGTTCGTAGTGTGCGGTGCATTAATGAAGGAAAGTCAAATTCAAAATTTGACTGTATAGGCCAAATTATGTTCCGACAACACAAGATTTTACACTTGTAGCAGAAAGATAGGAAATTTAAGTGGGACATAATAATTGTGAGGCATTCGCTCTATCAGTGGCTCAGTATTTTCAATTTGAGCACGCTAACGTTTTATTATAACTTACAAATAGCTTAAACAGACTACGTGATAAGAAAAGTCCTCGAATTTGACCAAAATCATCAATAATTTCTTCTGCTATTGTGATACACAGCATAAATATATCTTTCATTTAACTATCTCAAAAATCGTAATCCTTAGAGAAAGAATGTGTACTTGGAATAGAACGTGTGTTTCATTTCTCTCTCCAAATTCTGTTTACGCTCCGATAAATATTTAGCAACATTAACGTGACTTATGCTCGAGAAATGCGCAGAAAGGCACGTATGACTTCGTGT